GGTGTGGCTACAAGTGGGGGGGTTTATGGGTGTGGCTACACATGGGGGGTGGTTTTATGGGGGTGGTTACAAGTGGGTTTGATCAGTTGATGGCTGGCTGTCATTCAACTTGGAAGGGTTGGTGGCTATTGAGCAGCACATGGGCCATGACCAGGGTCATACACCTGCACATATTTGGGGTCCCGGCAATAAAGGTAAATCGGAGAAAATAGTTTAATGCAGAATACTTGCAATAGTATTAGTTATTTAAAAAAAAATGAGATACACTAAATAGACTAAAGAGCTCATTTTTCAATGCATTTATCTTCTTAAAGTGAAAATACATGTAGAGCATTCGTTGAACCGATCTACCAAATTAAGGCATCAGTGAGTGAAACATCAGAGAGCAACAAAGTGAAAACCATTTCAGTATACAAAGCAGTACATTGTTATTATAATGTATTTAAATCCAGACAATGAACTTTTCCTGGGGATCCTGTAAAGCACTGTAGTAGCCGGAGCGACTCCAGAGCTGGCTGCCATCTTCCAGGTGCCTGTACTACACTTAGGGTTGCTACCTGTGCAGGATTCACCCAGACAGTCCGAGTTATGAGCCCGGTATGTGCTGTGTCCAGGTTTTAGGCCAGCTCTCTCACCTGGCTGTCTCTCCTCTCTGTCTCTCACTCCTGGCTGTCTCTCCTCTCTCTCTCCTTCCTATATCTGCTCTCTCCCTCCCCTGGCTGTCTCTCCTCGCTCTCACTCCCGGCTGTCTCTCCTCGCTCTCTCCTTCCTGTATCTACTCCCTCCCCTGGCTGTCTCTCCTCGCTCTCACTCCAGGCTGTCTCTCCCTCCCCTGGCTGCCTCTCCTCGCTCTCACTCCTGGCTAACTCTCCTTGTCTCTCCCCTGCCTGTTTTTTCCTCTCTCCCTCTGCTGGCTGTCTCCCAGCACTCTCACTCCTGGCTAACTCTCCTTGCTCTCCCTCCCACGGCTGTCTCCTTGCTCCCTCTCTTAGCTCCCTCTCTTGGCTGTCTCTCCTCGCTCTCTCTCCTGGCTCTCTCTCCTTGCTCCCTCTCTTGGCTATCTCTCCTGGCTGTCTCTCCTGGCTCTCTCTCCTTGCTCCCTCTCTTGGCTATCTCTCCTGGCTCTCTCTCCTTGCTCTCCTGCCTCTCTTGACTGTGTCTCCTTGCTCTCTCTCCCTCCCCTGGCTGTCTCTCCTCGCTCTCTCTCTCCTTGCTCTCTCTCCTGGCTGTCTCTCCTGGCTCTCTCTCCTGGCTGTCTCTCCTCGCTCCCTCTCTTGACTGTGTCTCCTTGCTCTCTCTCCCTCCCCCTGGCTGTCTCTCCTCGCTCTCTCTCCCATGGCTGTCTCTCCTCACCCTCTCTCTCTCCTGTCTGTCCCTCCGGTACACTCTCTAAAAATAAATTTGCCATGTGGCGCTAGAGTGTTGGGGTTTAGCTTAAAGAAAAGGTGGAAACCCTAACTGCACATTGCTGAGCGGCTTCCCCTCTGCAAGAACTGGATCGCTCTCTCGGCACAGCGTCCTTTCAGAGAACGCCAAGTGTTTTTACCACTGAATACAAGGTTTCCTCTGATTGGATGAGGAGTGGATAGTGACATCACCTATACCTATAGCTTTATATATACCATAGAATGTGCTTTGTATTACCTGTGGATCCTGCCAGAAATGTTCTGAACTGTAAATGTGCAGTGCCCTCTGCTCGCAGTTATCAGTTACATTTTTCCTGTACTCTATGTGGACTACATAGGGGACTACTTCCCAATTTTATAAAGGTGAGGAGGGAGGGTGTTCCGTAGAACCTGTCCTAGGGTAATAATGGTGCTCCTCCATAGATACAGTACAGTGAGTGAGCGTTGTCACCCTAGGACAATTACTGGCAGGATCACCAGGTGAAGGGGAAAAAAAAAAGCAGAAACAAGAAAACGAATGCAGCTGCCACATTTCAGGGCGGGTGAGCTGCAACATGTGACATTTGTATTCTCGGGTTTAGATACGTTTTATGTAAATTAATGCATTTGAAAACTAAACGTTTTGATACATTTCCAAAGGTTTCGATTGCCCCCGGTCATGAAGGGGTTACAGCCACAGGCGATAGATAGATAGATGGATGGATGGGAAATAATAAAATGCAGTTTTATAGACACATTGAAAATCCCAAACTCCAGTGAATTTAAAGTAAAATAATATGACTGCTTTAACAGACCGCACGCTGCACAGCACACATTACCCGCACACTGCACAGCACTCATTCCCCCGCACACTACACAGCACACATTACCCGCACACTGCACAGCACACATTCCCCCCACGCTGCACAGCACACATTACCCGCACACTGCACAGCACACATTACCCGCACACTGCACAGCACACATTCCCCCCACGCTGCACAGCACACATTACCCGCACACT